TCTCCATCTTATGAGTTACTGTCGCAGATTTCATCAAGATAAAATGCCATTTTATTATTATCAAAGTTATTTCACAAAAAAAATGAAAATGCAATACAGACATTTTCTTTTTCCTCCAGATTTAAATACTTCATGATATGTAATAAATAAAATAAAAATAACATGTTATCAAACCTTACTGAGATTTGAGCAATGAGAATGATTGCTGACGATGGATGAGATGAGATGAGGGGGACAAGAGGGCCCTCTGAAGAGCCATATGTGAATTCAAATTTATTTAAAAATCCCATTAAACTGAGAGAATACATTCTTGACCTAATTGTGAAGGACCCGGTTATTGTGTTATTGTATTCAGAAGCTTAAATTAATTGACCTGAATTACATATTCATACTCATTACAGAAGCATGTGTGGTTAATCATTACCCACAGCACTAACTGTGCACAATCAACTTTATCAGCAAAACACTGACAATCTGTTGGACAAGCCACGCTCAAACACTATAAGAAGTCATATTTTAATCTTTAAAAGTGTGCACAGCCACATGTATAATATATTTAAATTGAACGTGCATAAAGGTGACCCTCAGTCGATATGTGAGTACCGAGACAAGCATCGATTCATTACATTTTATATGTAGTCCTACTTGTACAAAAGTAAAAAAGTGAGAACCCTCATTCTTTATAGTGTGCAAAACTTTGTTGATGGTTTTAAAACTTGAACAATAATCCACTACTGAACCAACTGAACAAAAGTGAATCAGTGCCATGGTGATATGTAGATATGGCAAGTGTAGAAAACAGACAAACCAGAAGTATGGCAACATAAACAAAAGCCAACATTTATTTATTCTATTTTAATCTACCTTAAAAGTGTATCCTGAATATGTCACATCTTCAACAACAATAACTCGGAAAACAGCTTTTATCTTGACAACACAAGCCTTCGTTCACCTGTATAAGTGACCTGTGTATGTCATCTCTCTCTCTCTCATACACCCGATATAAGAGCACTCCATTCATGCATGAAACTGTCAGGTAACACTACCCTCTCCCAACACGTGTTGCAGATGGTTACCAATACTGCCAGTTTTCACAGGCAAAAATATTCAAACTGGCATCAGCAGCAGACCTAGGAAAACAAAAATGAAACATTTAATTTTTCATGTTGTTTTTTTTCCCTGTTTCTCCATGTCACCATTTGACCTAATTTGTTCTTTTGGGCTTGTCATGGCAAAGCAGCTCATCCAGCAAACATGCCTGATGAGGTGTGAAGCCTGCACCCAAATCCAGCTCTCCTACCCTCTGCCCACATTCCTGCTCAGCTCTCCAGCTTACTGGAGGTAGACGTCACTCACCGGCAGTCTCAGGGTCAGATGGAGGTATCCCCATTCGAACCTGAAACCGGTGAGGCGGACCAGAGATCGGTCATTTATAACTTGCTTCAAATCCTCTCAAAGGTAGTCAACTTTCCTGTCAGAGTTGGTGTTGAGGCGCAATAAAGTAGAATGAATACAGAGCATATGTTGTGTATTTTTTTATTTTTATTTAACTAAACAAAAGCACATTCCATTGCACTATCCACGAAAATAAACTACTATTGTACATAGTGGAGCTACTGCAGGCAGGAGTGGTTACTTGTTTTGTAAAGGAGGCCCCGGAGCTTGGGAGATGCAGTTAAATTATTTAATGTTTGCCAAGACTGAGAGTCTGTAAAGACTAAAAAAAACATTTCGTGGTTATACTTTACTATCCCCAGAGACAAAGAAAAACGAAAAGCAAACAAAATGTACCAAATCTTAAATAATACCGCCATCTTGGATTTTAAGAGTCACCCGGCTAATCAAGTACTTTCATGTAACATTTCAAAATACCACAGGGCTCACATTTTTTTGCAAGTGACACAAAGCAAACTGGGGGTATATAAACTTGGCCAGTAACATGAGTGAAATTAACGTCTCATGACAGCTTGGAATGTGCCATATCATCTTTCTGAGAAAAAAAAAAGCACGTATAGTGTACTGTAGGTTTACATAAAAAAAAAATAAAAGACTTATAGGATGAAATGTGTCTATGATGAGATGAGGTACAGTGGATGTTTAGATCTTCACCCCTTGCTGGGGCAGTTGGCAGGTGGCGATGGCAGGCAGGGTTATCGCGCTTGACATTACGTGGGCGAGGGAACAACCTGGTCACCACGGTAAAGAGGACAACGCTGCAGCGTTCCAGGTGTTGGTTGCCTGTGGCGACTGAGTGGGAGCTCTAGAAGTCCAGGTGTTTGTTGCCGGAAGTGCCAGAGCCACAGGCTGAAGTCACTGTGGCTGCTCCTGCCAGCTCCCCCCTGCTCACACGACTCACCGTCTCAGACAAGTCTGGAGGCAAATGCAGTCTCTACAGAAATCACAGAGGGGGGGGGAGAGGACAGAGTATTAGATCAGCTTGTATGGAGAAAAAAGAAAGCACTACAGTGGATCAACATACAGTAGATGGTACACTTCACTGATGTTTATTCACAGAGAGCCATGTTGGGTTGAAATTGCATTAGATGCTTCAGCACTCCCCTCAGCACTGGCAGTGTGGAGTAAACCTGCTAGCGTGCAGCTAAATGCTTCAGAGAGCTTTAGGTCTGTTACGGCTCACAGGGAATATGTGTGTGTGAGGTAGGGGTGTTTAAAGAAGTTGTGTATGGGACACAACAGCATGCATTTATGAGTAAGAGAAAGTGTGTGTTCAGACACAAATGTGCAAGAAAAATCTGGATGTTTGCTCTTTGGGTTGATTTACTGTGTTTGTAACACAGATGGTTATGTTCAGCTAATACCAGAGTCATTAGAATCAAGTCTTTTAGCAGTTTCATAGTTAAGCTTATCTATCGGGCAGCCCTGTGCCAACTCAAAGCACAAAGACTCTAAGAGGTTAATGAGGGCCACTCATGTAAAGCCCCCTAACACCAACATGCTAACTACTATAAAGCTTAAGAGGGGCTACACTGGTCTGCTCTGCTCTCTCAACAAGTACTGAGAAAGGCTGCCAATGGCACTCCACGAACAAAGTCTTGAAGAGTTGCTGCGAGCGTGAGAGGAGGTGAAGTATCTCCAGAGTCAAGAGTGCACTCGACAATGGTGTTGAGTAGCACGTTGCTCGAGTGTCTATCGAGGAAGTTAAATCAGAATACAGGCATCCTGGGTACAAGAGAAGCTAAACCCTGTAATTTGCCCCTGAAAGAATCTGCCATGACATCTGAAACCCACTGGTCAAAGCCTGCGCTCCCACCTCAGCCCTCTAAACCTTCCCTCGTCGCCACATCCTTACCCCCTCCAGACATGCAGCTTTAGGAGAGCCCTTCCACTCCCACAGATACTTATCTTTTTCTTAATGACTAGGTGTTTGGGTACAGGGTTTAACAGCGTCATTACTAAGAGATAATTCAGGACTACGCAACACTCTGTACCCCTCTAGGGTAGACTACTTCCTCCCTCTGCTTAATACTGTTATTTTAAGAGCATCGAAACAACACCAACAGCAAATTGTTTTTACATCACTGATGATCATGTCTGATATGAAGCCTTGTGGTCCTGCTACTGTGGCTAACAGGTCTAAAGTGGTCTCTTTTCTGTTGAACACATTGCCTTTGTGTGTGTGTGTGTGTGTGTGTGTGTGTGTGCGTCAGAGGACCGTTTGTCAGGCAAGAAGAGGAAACAAGAGGAGTAGTCTTCAGGCAGTCCTGCAGATAATCTGGGGCAGGTGAGCACTGAGACATTGTGAAGGACCTATAATTTAATGTAAAGGTAAGGTTTCAAGGACTTATTGAGGCATGGATGGAAGATTCCCACTGGGAGGAAAGGCAAGAGATTCATAACGAGTATAAACTAACTCTTGTGACACCACAAGAAGAATTATCATGTTAGAAAAATACTTGATAAATCTGTTAAAGTTCTCTCTGTATGCAACTCTTACTAAGTCCCTCTCCCTCCCTCTCGCGTGCACACACAAACATCCATGCAAACTCATATATTGGCCTTGAGGGGGCCTCCAGAAGCTCCGCTCTGTTTCCACCCCTGCCAAACCTCACCTGTGTAACCTTTCGTGTCTTCAGCTCACTCGAGTGTGATTGAAAAAGAAAAACAATGCATTGATCAAGCCTGGACTCAGTCCTGCTTAGCGCACTGCAGCGGAAACAGGGTAGAGAGAAGGGTAGGAGAAAAATCAATCACATATACATCATCCTCAGTGGGTGAGTAAAAAAAAAAAAAAAAAAAAAAAAGACATCACACCGTTGTCTGGCTGTCACGCACCCGCGGGCCTGGCTACGCCGTGTCTGTTTGGCTCTTGGCTCTGTGAACCCACTGAGCATGTGCAGAGCGAAGGTCAAAGCAATCCAGAAGTGCAGCTCAGCTCCTCTAACCTTTGAGTTCAGGGGCAGATGAGAACAATCAATGGTAACATCAAAGTTGGAGGGAGGAGCAGACAAAACCAATCGATTGGTTTGACACACACAGAGGGAAAAGAGAGCCTGGTAACAGTCAACAACCATCCCGCACATCAGCGACAGCCAATATCAGAGCTGTTATTGGTTATCGGGGCCATAAAAACATGCTTTATATTCACTCCCACTTCAGATGAAGTAATTTCCTATCACTGCCAATGCAAGTTAACTTGGTGAGGACAACTGAGACCCAAATATGATGTAGTTGTAGGGCACTTATTTTAGCAGTGGTAGGCCAACTGTGGGGTTGCCATGAACATTTGCATTGACACCAAATGAATGGAGGTCAGTGTAGGACTTAGACAGACATAACCAGGGAGGCTCTGAGTCTGCTTCCATACGACCTGCACACTCCATGATGTAAACAAGGACATCCGGAAAACCCTCAGAGGCATAGTAGGGTGTATGTGTGTGTGAAGTCTTTCTCTGCTGCCTGGCAACCTTCACGAGGGTGGAGAAAGAGAAAAAAAAAATGAAGGGGGGGGGTGTTAGATGGGAGTGGACGGCGGGAAAATAGACCATTGGTTGTGGTGCACTGGTGCGGGGGGGGGGTTGTGAAAATGGATTTGTGCCACAATGTTGGTGCGAGTACTGTGTGTTAGAGTTGTGTTGTCAGTGTTCCCTCCCTGGTGGCGGGCAGGGGTAAAGGTCCGTGGTTCAGCTCCGCTCCACAGCCAGAGGGGCTGGGGCCATGCTGGCAACAGGGTGAGGGGTGACAAAGCTCCAAACGAGCGCTAAGCACTTGAAATGAGCCCTCAGGGCCGGCCCACAGACTAGCTTTGCCTAAGAGGGTTACTAATATCACCCCACAATGGACAATTCCCATCGGCTTACTAAACACCCCAAAGACCCGGCTCTTAAGGAATATGCTGTTTTATGCTGCTCGCAACTGGTCGCTCACAATCTCTACATACACCAGTGGTTGTTTGCGGATATCATATCAGCATTTTACGGCTCAGAAAAGGCACCAAATCCCAGTTTTTAAGGTTTTTTGTTATGTTTTGGTTGTGAGTATTACAATGTTATGTAAGAGCATAATATTCCAAGATCCAAATGCACGAACTGGAGCTTAAACTGGACCTACTAACACAAAGCAGCACCATCAAAGGCATTCCACTGGTGGTAACGGCTTGCTAATGACTGGAGTATTAGGTTCTAATTTAACGAGTCATTTCTTCCATAGGGTTTTAGCCACACTTTCAAATGGCCCGTGTCACTGTACAGCTTAGAACTATGGGAAACCCAACACCTTGTTGGAACACATGACGACTGGTCTGGCTGTTCCAATCAGATAAGCTGATGCTGGAACATGCTCATGGAAGTGACACGATATATTTACCATAAACACCTACTTAACACAATCATTGTTGTAATTTGGTCAGCATATCATAAGCTCTATTAAGTCAGTCAAATGAGAGAAACTGAACATTGTATCACTAAGCTGAAGTCATTACAATCACAGAAGAAATGTCAACTAAGCAATCTGGCAATATGCTGCCATGCGTGAATACAAAATTCCAGTTATTGTACTGATGCAGAACAACACACCAAGTTTTTCTTAAAATTACAGTTTGATATACCACCACGAGTCCAGTATTCATGGACAGTGGTCACATTAGAGGTGATACCTTTTGCCAATTCCATTTCCCTGAGCTCAGTGCAGTCACTGTAAACTAATGTGGACGTCTGTCCATGACTCCAGGTCAATGTCCTCCATTTGCAGTCCCATTTCTACAACCAGCCAAGGGTCAAAATGGTAGTAGAATGAAATTGGTAGAAATTTCCCAGACTTGCTGGTCTATCCAGTCACTAAACCATGCTAAATCACCTCCCAGTGCCGTAATCCCTCACACCTCTAAAGTTACACTGCATTGTGTGGGAAATCATTTGCTGGACCTATAGGAACTAGTATTAGCACAGCAAACCCCACATAATGAGGTGATGTGCTTCTCTATTGGAGAAGCAAACTATCATCACATTTGCGCTGGAAATTTTAGAGAATACCTCCGCTACCTTGCCAGAAAAAATGCAGAAACAACCCAGCATAAATCCCATTACGTCGGTAATTCTAGCCCACCTGCACCTAACAAAAGCTAAGAAGAAGCTCTTCCTTCCTCTTCTTTTGTTGTAACAAAGAGTGCAACACGATCCCTGACCTTGCCCTAAGAATAACCTGTTGATTAGAGAAGTTTTATCCCTTCAGACTTCGTCATTTTTAGAGAAATGCTTTGTCATTCACCTTTCCTCATTGTTCCTCACTAATGTAGTTCTTTTTTTTTCCAAATTAATCAATCAATAAATGTATTTTCTGTCAGGGTATTATGGTACTTCTCCCTGCAGCCCTCACTATTAGTAGCTTGTAATGTTGGTAATTAAGGAACTTAACTTTAAACATATCCAACTATTTCAGCCATTAAGTATAACATTTTAAAATTTCACATAACATGTAAGAATGGGTACATTTTCCAACTCTACACTCTTCTGTTGACATACACGCTGTTCAAAAAACTAAAAGTGAACAAGTTGAATAGTGGCTTAAAAAGAGTATAAAGGAGACAGGAGAAGAAAGAAACAAATGCAAACTACACTGAAGCTCATCTCAAATTTCCTTTTGGTAATTGGGTGACGGTCACCTGCTCGCCATGTCACCTGCTGCCTGATCCAGGATAATCTGAGAGGCAGGCATACAGACATTCAGGTGGACTGACAGATAGACAGATACATACACAGGTTCCTCATCTCTTCTGCTTCATGGCTAATGCATCTGACAGAGTAGGCAGCAGGCAGGCAGAAGGATGAGTAAGCATTTTGAGTGTAATTATATTCCCAAACACTGGAAGAATGGGAAGGGACGAATAACTGACTGAATTTCATTAGAAGTGAGCATGTCCAAACAGGAAATTGATTAGCTGACAATATTTCAAGGTTTTTTAATACCTAATGGAATGTTTATTCCTGTTCTCTTGAATAACTAGCTCCTCACTTACCCTTCACGCTCCAAAGACTGATGTAAAACAGCATTTGATAGTATCTGTCATGTTACTAAACATGAGATGCATGGGAATCAGTTAGCTCTGCGATGCTTCTGAATAACCAAATGGACAAACAAGGGCCAAAGTGTAACTGTGCTGTAACACAACAACTTGACTTGTTATCTCCGTCGTCATCATCTTCAACTGAACCCTCCTCTGGGGGCCCCCGCTCAGGCCTGTCAAGAGCTTTGACAGGGGAAGCAGCGTGAGGCCATTTTGTCTCTTTTCAGTTCGGTTTTGTTTCTCTTTGGAGGGCAGTGTTGGTATGGACCTTGGGCGTTGTAGGGTGAGGGGGCGAGGGCACATTGACCCTTGTGGTGGTGGGTAGGAAGGGGGGGTTAGTTGGTGTTACGGACTTGGGCACAGCCAAAGAGTGCTGGTCCGCCCCTGGAGTGACATGGTGCCTGGGGAGAAAGAGAGAGGAATATAGGGCGTAGAGTACAAACATGTCTAAGTGCTGCCTTCACTACCGATAGGCCCATAGCAAAGAGCGCGGCTGCATGGGTTATGACAGCATATCTGGGGGACCTCTTGTGCCCTCCACCCCTCAAACACACATTTTACCCCTCAAACCGTGACTCTGATATAAACCTCCCTCAGGTTAAAACATCACTGACACTTTTGGTAAAGCAGGTCTAGTGTTGTATGGATGCTATACTACAGAATAATCACACTTGAGAGAAAATTTCAGCATACATACATTTCCATTTTCCCATTACATTCTTTTTTCTTAAAAAACAGCATAAAGCTATACCTTAACCCACTATTCAACTTGTTCACTTGTTCACACTGTAGGCAAAGTGGCCAATTTCTTCATGATAATTATCAATCCTACCACAGTACAGAACAGTATGATAAATCAACTGAATGTACAGTAATAACAGTAATGATATAAAGGAACAGTGTGACATATTGGCAAATACACTCATTCGCTTACTTGCAGAGAGTTACGATGAGAAGATAGACTTGAATATAAATCAGAATTAAACAGCCAGTTAGCTTAGCTTAGCATAAAGACTGGGAACAGCTAGTTTGGCTCTGCCCAAAGGTAGCAAAATCTGCATCCAAATCTCTAAAGCTCATTAATTAACAATTTATATCTCATTTAATTAATGCATACAAAAACAGATGTTTAAAGACAACAAGTTGTGGTTTTTCAAGGGGTTTTGTGCAGGACTATTTCTTGGCCAGTAGCAGTGACTTCCTAGAGTCTCCACTGGTTGCCTGGCATTTCCCAAAATGTCCAAATATTTCTTTAAGATCCCTGTCCTAACTGTCTCTTTCACTGCTTCAGTCACCAAAAAATAAAAGCCAGAGCATTACCAAGGACATTTTGTCATGTATTATTCATTCGTTGTGTTGCATTCTACAAGGCATTGCCCCATGTACAAAAGACAGACAGACACACTGCCACTTGCCTATGCATGTGTCACACAGAGGTATTTACAACATGGGCGCACAAAACTGGCTAGTACAACTAGGATTTCCTGAACCCAACCTTACCTCCAACAGAAACCCCTATTTCTCCCTCTTTGTTTGCGCTGTGATGGAGTTCAGGCAGTTTACAGGCATAAAATTTGGCAACGCGAAAGGTCGTCTGGAGGTTACTGTGTCAGCCTGGGTAAGTGGCTGACCCCTTGGGAGGGGTGGGGGCGACCACACTCACAGAGGAAAAGTCTGTTGTGCTAGAGAAAAGACCAGGATGGAACAGGGCACATCAGAACTGGAAATACTAGGACAGAAGATGACAATATATTATCTATCATTTATACTGTATATTATCCACTATTTACTTCTCAGTAAAGTAGATAAATTCTTGTCACTGAGAACTACCCGTAGAGGATCATGTACTCAAGTTCAGCAGCTTGCAATCTTCAGGAACGATCCAAGCAATCATATGGATCACACAGAAGACTTGGATATGTACCTGGATTCATAGAGCTAAGGTCTCTGAAGATTTGTACTTCATCTCTCAGCAAGAGAGAGGATAGGAAAGGAAACACAAATATTGGCAGAGAAAAGCTGAAGAAAAACTTTTTCTGTAACTCAAGACAGAAAGAGAAGACAGAAAGAGAAGACTGATCAAGAAAGAACTTCATCTTCATGTCTAAGTGAAGTGAAGGGGACAGTGAAAGAACGGCGTAAAAGCAGTTGATGTTAACCCGAGTATACCTAAGAAAGGTGTGTGCATCTTAACTATTTACGAAAAGCAATTGTGTAACATAATGTGCTGATGTATTTGTAATACTTTTGATGTCTTTGTCGTTGTATGTCTGAGTAAGAGTGTGTGTATGTTTTTATGCATCCGTGTCTGTTAGTCTGCCCGGATGAATAAAGGGGGGTGGGTATAATCCATCACCAGTTGATAGTCCTCACAAAAAAGGAGCCCTTTTTGCTGAGAGGACAGCCCTTGTGTGGACAAAGACCACCATACTGGGGACTTCATAGGACCCAGCTGAAAAGGTGTTGCCCAGAGTAACCCCATTCACATTAACAGGCATGCTGGCCAAAGCCAGTCATTACTGCTGACTTGGACCAGCCGGGCCACACATAGACCAGCATAGAGCCTCTAAGGCCATTCACTCCACATCAGCCCACAGGCAAACAGCCTGAACTCTGCCACTGGAGAGCATCTAGAATTGTTACCATTCTATTTGACTGTCCGTCTTGAGAACTTCAATATATCCAGCCTTTGAGTAAATTTATGGAAAGCACAAATAAACAGTTTTAAAGGGCAAGATTTCAGCCTGTAGATTAAAATATGCCAATAATGTGGAAATATAAACAATAATTGACAATTTATGTGGCAATATACAAAACATTTACTGAAACAAGTCAATCTGTGACTTAAACTTAAACTGTTCCAATATGATATCTTGGGTAATAAACAATAGGGGAACTTCTAATAGACGTTTAGACATTTAGCAGGATGAGACAGATATGAGCTTCTGGTGCTACAGAAGAACACATTTGCAACAACTATTTTCACATGGATTCCATGGTTACTGCAGTAGTAATGATAATGTCTTGGAGAAAAAACATTTCTCAACAACATAACATAGAATAAATCAGCATAAAAAATGTTATAAAAGATAAGGAGGCCTTTCTTATGAGATATTTTTAACTTATTCTTGCAGAGGTCTTGAATGAGGCAATATTCGGGTATTCACATCCACTCATCGTCTCTCTACTAGTGGGTCAGCTCTGCTACAGTTACACAGCTGAAATGCTTCGCTCCACTAATCTACTGAACTCTCAATGACACTCTGAAAAACACAAACCTGACCTATTCTCTGTCTCTGATGAAAACTTTCAGTAGAGACAACATGCAGAAAGGAAAAGCGGAACAGAGAGGGACTAAAATACTGACCAGAAATGTTAAAACGGCGAAACTTTTTTGATAAAAATCTGAGTTGAATATCCTTGATTCAAATAGATCCTACAATTAATGCAGCTATTTAAACATATTATGCATCGCATCCTTTGACACACAGACACATTTCAGTCTCCTAACCTCCCCCTTCTCTCTTCCCCTATTTGCCCTCCACCCCCACCTCCACCTCTGCTTTCCTCTCCGGTACGCTCCCTGTGGGCAGGTGGTTGTATAAATTTAGCCACAGCTAGGTGAGGTGCTTCCTGGGTAGACTGTTGGCAAAGCCACCTTTAGGGTGTTCAAGATGTCAGAGGGAATGAGACATCACCTCGGCTGCCCTGTCAAAAAATTCACCACCTTCCATTTCCCCCATAACCTCTAGGTCCTTGAAGCACTGTGGGTGATGGGGAATGCTTGTTTTGTGTTTTCTAATTTTGCCTGAAACACACCAGCCATTACCTAACCTAGAGCGCTGGTTGAGTGTTAATTGTGAAGCATTACTAAAGCTATTAAAACAGTGAGCCGGGGCCTGGGGAGAATGCATGCTAAAGTAAAAAATCAGGGAGACAGTGCTAAATACATGTGATATCCTCTCTGCAAATGACCCCTATAAGAGGCAGCACTGAGGAGAATATCTCAGTTTTAAAACAATGACCAGAAACAAAGCATATTAAAATGTGAAAACTGTTCAAACTAAAATAAATAAATACAGCAGCACTATGATGAACTAAATGTTGTCAAATGATCATGGTAATAAATTTCAGTCTACAATAAATATAAAATACTAATACTAATACCCCATTAAAGACTCAAGCAGGATTAAAAATGCAGACTTTAGGCACTAGGACTGTATTAAAAGATGACATTTAATATCAAATGTTTTTCTATTACTTTGTCACAAATCGAATTTGGTACAACTGATTTTTTAATTTAATTTTCCCTGAAGTTGCACATATGTAACAGGTTTGGGACAAATCACAGCCTTTGAAAGTACTTTGTTCCTATGTGATAATACAAAAACAAGCAGCTCTGGTGGGACAGCAAGCAAGATATCTTTTGGCTATATTTCTACAACCAAATACAACTCTAAAAGGTCTGGGGCTCTAAAGAACACAATCACAACGTCAGATATGGATGTCTTGTAAACATGGGCAGCTAATTGTTTTAGACTTAAAACAATTATAAAAGGTTGGAATTGAACAGTGTGTATCTGCAGATAGCACGCTGCAGTATCAGGTTGGTTGGTAAGATGACTATCAATCAAAATAAAGATTACATTCTATTCCTAATTTCACAAAACTGCATCCTAAAAAAATGAATGGTTGAATTTCAGTCCAGAACTCACTCTAAACTTTTGCTCAAATCTTCTGTAATTGTTGATGATTCATTTTGTGGTAGAGTTTCTGGAAACTTGTCAGGGAAAACAGTTTTTAAAAAAAAGTGAAAGCTTTTTTGTGGTTAAGGTGGTTTGGTTTATTTGTCAAAAACCTTTAATTGTAAAACCACAAAGGCTCGAGAAGACTAATGAGTAAGAATATTAGTTTGACATGTAATTAGTGTGCAATTATGTTCTATGAAGTACAGTTTAAAATGAAAAGTAAGCACAGAGACGGCTACAGAGAGCTGTTGAGTTGAAAAGAATAACAAAATTGGAAACCGTTCCAAATGTGACGATCAGCTTCTTCATTCTCCCTGATGTCGAGTTAGGAGTTTTGCTGGGAAATGGGCGGCCTGCCAGATTGGGGCCAAGTCAGAGTTGTCAGGGGATTACAGTTCTGCCTTGCTCACTGCAGGGGGTGCGGAGTGGGCCTCAATTACCCTGCAGCGGCGTGTTTGATTTGGCCCGGCACTTTTGGGGACAGACCAAAAGCTGAATAATGCACCATTAGCAACTCAAAATCCTGCCCTAAAATGAGTCCACTTATGCATCACATACAGTAATTGTGTGTCTATCAAAGGCTGGCAGGTCTACACCAATTACCCTGATAACAACAAAACAATCTATGCATAATATTATCGGCCGAACACCTG